CCGGCTGGGGCCTCTCCCGCAGCCTCGGACGGGGGGCGGGGGCCGGAGACCGCGCCCGACCAATCAAGAGTGGCCTCCTGGAGCTCTTGGCCAATCCAGGCCGCGCTTCAACGAGTCGGGTGGAGCCGACCGAAACATTCCAGAGGGATCCCGCCTCGTCCGGCTCTTCCCGACTCCCCTGCCCTGCAGCGCAGTGGACCTTCCCGCCCCGCCTAAGCCGCGGCGGGCTATACCACCGCAGGGCGGCGGAGGGGGGAGCTGAGGCTGGGCCCCGGCGAATCGAGGGGAAGGAAGGAGACGAGTTACCAATGGGAAGCTGGGGCCCTGGGCCACGTGCTGTGGGTTGAGTGTCTCGGGGGGACGGGGTGTAACCAGCGGGGGACTGGCCGTGGGAGCCCGGGGCTGAGTTTGGGGGAGAGAATGCAAACTCTCAACGTCCCGAAAAGCGTACCTTTAGAAGGCCTGGGAAAGGGCCGAGGGCAGCCCCCAATCCAGTTCTCCGCGTGGCCTGGCCTGTCCCTGCCCCAGCCCGGCCCTCCTCGGAGCAGATAAAAAGATGCATTCATTCCAGGGTGGCGGGCGGGGGACCGAACTGAATAGGGAGGGTCCTGAGTGTCCCTGCTTCCTGGGGTGTACAAAGGACAAGGGCATTCATTCATTCATTCATTCACTCATTAAATATTTAATGTGCCCCTGGTCGGTGCCAGGCTCTGTCCTATCTCTACAAACACACCGACTAGTAAGCTGAATGTGTTCCAGGGAGAGGGAAACAGTGCGTGCAAAGGCCTGGAGGCTGGACAGAGAGATAAAGTCCTTTAGGATAGGAGCTAGCACAGCAGTGTGAAAGGATGCAATGGAATGGAAGACAAGGGCAAGATGTCCTGTTCGCTTGTTGGTTAGACCAGCAAACATTTAGAGAGCACATACAAGGTGCTAGATTACCAAGGGCACCCAGGCAACCCAAGCCTCTGCCCTCAGGGAGCTGACCTTTCAATGACTCAGTCTCCTCCATCTGACAGTGAACAACCCGCCACCCCACCCCGTACAGAGCATGCATGTGTGTGTGAGAGGACCAGGTAATCAATCTCACCATCTCCAGGTTTGGCTTGTAACCGGGATTGCTCAGGCAGGAGCAGATCCGAGAAACAAAGACACAAACGCATCTTGCAAAAGCCAGGACGCTCAGTTCTCAGGACAGGTAAGAGATTTCCTTGTTCTACTTCAAAGCGGGCCACTTGGGCAGCTGGGGCTAGACCAGGAGCTCGCTGTGTGTTCTGGAAACTGTAGTTGTTGGAGGCCTCTAACTGCTACGACCCTGCTCAAGCCTGATTAAATGACTGGGTCTTTGCAGTCCCCAGTGTGAGCTACTGTGCATCACAGCCACACCAGGACCCAGCAGAGGGACAAAGTGAAAGGGGAGAGTGGGCCCTGGGCTTAGCTGCTGAGGGCTGCCGGTCCGGCCCCACCCAGCTGGCAAACACCAAGCTCTCCATGGCAACAGGTTCAGCTATTGTCCTCCTCTTCCTGTTCTGCTGACCTCTGCCACTCCCACTGAGCAATAGGTTGCCTTAGCTGGCCCAGTGCCTTCTGGGGGACTGTGCCCACTGTCCTGGTGGCACCTGGCATCCGAGATTCTCCCTAGGGCAGGATGTAGGGCCAAAGGCACGGTAGTAGCCAGAATCCACCTGAATCCATCTGTTGACTGATGAGGAAGTGCCCAGGGAGAGGTAAGGGAATTGCCAAAGGGCATAGAACAGTGCCTGGCACCTCTTACCCTCCTTTTGAGTTCCAGAGGCATGAAAACTGAGGCTGGGAGACCCAGCTGGTGAGGAGCTGAGATTTGAGGGTTGCTTCATCCCCTTTGGGAAAAATAAAAATCTGGACCAACTATTACATGCAGAAGGAAAGGTTGAATTAGAAAATCACCATTTTTCAGCCAATAGATGAATAAATGATTCATACAAGGCTCATCAATGAGGAAGTGGACATTCCGCTTCAAAGGACCAGCCTGCAGATTGCTTGTTAATTGTAATGGGGAAAAGGTACCAATGGGGAACCTGGAAGGCACCACCTTAACCAAGTGATCAAAGTTAACATCACCAGTGATGGGACTGGCCATGCTCACATGCCCCCTGCTGTGATGTCCTGAGCAGGACACAACATCACCTACAAAATACTCTGTCCTGCCTAAAGTGTTTAACCTGAATCTAATCTTGAGGAGACAATCAGACACACCCCAGTTGAGGTGTGTCTGAAAGGAAGGAAGGATGGATGGAAGGAAGGGGGGAGGAAAGGAAAGGGAAGGGAAAGAAAAGGAAAGGAAAGGTGAAAAAATTGACCTGGACTCTTCAAACAGATCTATGTCATGAAAGGCATAATCAATCCCTAATCAAATGAATGAATAAAAGTCTGGGGAACACTTCTAGATTGAAGGAGGTGAAAGAGAGGTGACTACCAAAATCATAGACCCTTGATTGGATCCTCCATAAAAATTTTCGAAAAAAGATAAAACAGCTATGAAGGATATTCTTGGGATAATTGGGGGTATTTGAATGTTGAGTAGATGTTAGGTAATATCATATCCATGTTGAATTTCCTGAGATTAAGCATTGTACTATGGTTATATAAGAG